AAATATTTGAATAGTGAACCTTTTCAAACAGGTATATTATTAGTTTTTAATTCTTATCTGTCGCCAGAAAAAGATAGATACTTATACATTTATTTTAATTTAATGTTCTCAGCCCATTAGCAGGATCATATTTACAGAAGCTTTATAATAGAGAAAGTGCAAGCCTGATACACAAAAAGCAGAACAATACAAAACCTTTTAACAACGAAAAAGCTATATTGTAACTGGTGCAATTCCTTTAAAACTGCTTTTGCCCCAGCAACGCTTTTAATAATGAATTCCTCTCGTCTCACCGAATGATCCACATGCATTCAGCCCTGTGCACTTTTGCCCACAAACCTCCTCCCCTCTTTTCAAATCCCTATCTATTCACCTTACTCCCCTCCCCAGACCCTCTTTCTTTGTTCCGATCATTAGCATAAAGCTGCTATGGATCTCCCGTTTAAATAATTATGCTCATAATAGAATGGAACGAACAGGAAAGCGGGAGAGAGAGAAATTAATAGGGAGAGAAAGTTAGAGAAAAGAAAACGAAATAAAGCAATTGAACAGATTAGAACTGAACAAAAATTAAGATTCTGATTAAAAATGTACATTGCAATCTGTTGCCGTTATTCAGTTACCCCTGCGTTAGAACCGTTTGGTTATTTTATAAATCTTCCTGGATGTTTTAGGGTTAACTAACACTTACACGCCTTATTACCATTTCCTTTAAGGAGAGTAATTACGATATTGAGCAGACATTCATGGAGAGATCAGGCCTGCAATTTACACTTTCTCTCTCATTGCTACCCTCTCAAACTTTGTTGTTTAATAGGATCTCTGCACCAGCCCAATCTGTCAGATAACTGCGACTCTAACGGTCACTGCAAATTATTAATGTGACGCTGGACTAAAGAATAATTGAAGCCGCTCGCTATGTCCAGTGGTTTAGAAAAGACAGGACAATATCTCGTACAATCTGACTGTTTAACCAGAACTGTAGGAGCAGGAAAGAAATGTATGTTGGTTATAAATAGTTTTTTTTCTATTTTGCTTTTTTTTTTATATTATGGATAGAACAGACCTTTTTTATTGTTTTTCAATTACTATGGAAATGTAACAGAGCAAATACGGTTTTATGAATGCACACATGGGGACACGTTTGTGCCATGGACTTGATGCATCACTTCTGTTTGTTCTCCATGTGTTTGCTGGCCGTATATTGAAGTTATTTTATTTCTGATAGACTAGGTTTGCTGAATAATGTGTGCCCCAAGTGCCTTCTTGTTTAAAGTAGAAGGCTGTGGATTGTCACCTTATTAGCATACAGCTGGTCAGCCCTCCTCCCCCCACCCCTCACACACACACTTTATGCACACTCCCTTAAGCAATGTACACTTTATCCAACCTTATCATCATGTCTGCTCTCAGGCAACCAGATGGAAAAACCAGCAGCTCTGTATACATTAGTATCCTGTCCATCGCCACACTGAACACAAAATAGATATGATTATTAGAGGGTATCTCCTCCATGTCCTGTCCCAATGCTAATGCTGTTCAGGTATGCCCATTTTATTGTCAGAGTTACATAAGGCAAATGCTAAATGCATGATAATATATATCTTGGATTTACGTTATAAACTAATATGAAGGGATTAATGCCATTGTAGATTTATAGGGAGAATGAAGCAGATGTTTTGGGTAGACGTTCACTCTAGCTATAACTAACAGATTCTCAATTCTGCCCAGTACGCCACCAATTATATATGTCATAGAGCAATCAGCTGCTGGCCATATGTATTCTTGGGGTACAGTGTCCTACAACATATTACTAATGGCCCAATCTAACGATTGTTTTCAACAGTGTGAAAGTGGCAGCTGCATGAGGTTGGAGCTCTGTCAAGACAAGACCGTTTCACTCATAGGACATGGCTTTATTTATAAGAGATAGGGAGGGAGAGGTAAGAAAGAGCTGCTGGTAAAAATCAGGTGAGTTCACCATACAAAATGAAAACAAAACAAAATTCTCACTTTTGTCAACAAATGTTGTTAAAGTAACACTATAGTGTTAGGAATACATTGTTTTCATCTGCCTCTGCGCCCACAGTCCCCTCCCCAGGCATGAAAGGGTTAAATAACCCTTTAAATACTTGCCTAATTCCAGCTCCAAGGTCCCTCAGTGCGGGTCAGTGCGGCTCCTCCAACATCAGCCGACCGGGGGTACCTAATGCACACGCATGACGAATGCTGCATGCACATCAAACTTTCCCATGGGGATTTAGCAGATGTTGGACCTCCTCATTCAAAGCGCGAGGACGTCCAGAGTCGTTTCACAGAGTGAAACAGCAGGAAGCACCTCTAGTGGCTGTATGGTAGACAGCCACTAAAGGCAGTCTTAACCATGCAATACAAACATACAAAATGAAGCCCTACTACTAAGAACTACCCCTGGGTGGCAGCAGTGACTATAGTAGACATCAGCCCCAATACATACAATACAAAACAAAGAAAAATGTTTATTGCGAATTGTCAGGAATTCAAAGAGAATTTCAAATTTAAGGACAATGTGGCTGACTTGGAGAATTTAGCCAGTTTGGATATCTATTCTCTATAATTCTCTTTTTAGTGAATAACCCTGTGTTTCCCTTGCTCCTCTCTTAGTAAAACAGTATTGGTAGAGAGGCTCAATTAACGGTGGCAGCAGGAGCCTAGGAGTGGATGTTGTCCCACCATTACACTGGCGTTAGGGACGCCTGCACTGCACCCTTCACTAGTATGTCACCGAAAGGGGGTGTGATATATGGTGACACCACCCGTTTTTTTTTTTACCAGCTTTTGTTGTACTCGTGAAGTAGAATAAAGTTTGTTGAATAGATGTGCATTAACCAGCAGGTAATTCTCAATTTTCTGTTTTCCCTTTGTTGCCTTATTGAATTAGTGATCCTAGATTAACCCCTTAATGACACATGACGGAAATATTCCACCAAGATTCCCTTTTATTCCAGAAGTTGTGTCCTTAAGGGGTTAAGACCAATGTGTTTGACTTAAATCACAAATCATTCTGGCATATCTTTTAAAGGATGGTGGAAAATCCCCCAAAAATACAAAATAAAAACACAGACAATAGGATTATAGACAAAAATGGGTAGAGCGGTAGAGCTTGCGGCTCATTCACTAGAGCAGGAACTGTGGGGAAATGACAAGGGATTTTCCTACTTAAGGTAAATTTGATGATATGGAAAACGTTGCAGGATGTTTCCATCTCAGCTATTTGGACTTAAAACTCGTAATTCCCTGATAAAGTATCTACAATTCCCTGTTTAGTGGGTAAAACTCCTGTACAACTCCAGTTCAATACTCGGCTATGCATTGTGAAATTGTTTTCGAACAATGTTAGTTTACTATTTTCCTCCTTAAAATGAATACTTTTATTTGATTATTGCACACTTTTTTTAAACCAGATCCAGTACAGAGAACATTTTGCAGTCAGTTTGTGCGTGGAGCATGTATCCACAGACCAATGACAGACAGCTAGCAGTGTACTCTCGCAGAATTTCAGCAATCTGCCCTTTACACTGTGGACGTTGGCAAACCAGCCTCTATTGATTTTTTTCCCCCTATTTATTGCACATGGACACTTTTCCAGGCAAAAAGCTATTTCATCCTCACCTGCCTGTGTAATTATGTGTTTTTTGGGGATATACAGAAAAATATTGTGGCAGACATTATTCTATCCAACAGTTTGAACCCAACAAATCAAGACAGAACCAGGAAATACAAAGAGCAGTGATTCAAGCAGCAGCCATAACTAATGGATTCATGTACAAATATTAGCATGCTTGTGCTGTATACACTGCATTCAATGCAGTCTTGCCTTGAAAGAATAGTACTGCCTGTGTTTAGTTCCTGGAGACTATTGATCTCCCAAACTGGTGGTTTTTGAGGATTTCGTCACTGCAGTTAGTGGACCAACTGCTATATCTGAATCTGTTAGAAATCGATTTAGTTTTGTTTATAAGTAATACAGCTGTTACCTGTGAGATTTTTTGCAGATCCCAAAAACAAACTTAAAGTTAGCTATGTTTTTTTATTTTATTTCCTGTAAAAATTTTTTTTTAAAATTGCATTTCTAGCTGTCTGGACACAACCAGATGATACATTGCAAATGAAAGGACACTACAGATCCCTAAAGCACTCTAGCTTGGTCAAATGCTTTATGTTTAAAGAGTGTGTCCATTTTTTTTTTAAATTTCATAAAATGTGCAGATATCAGTAGAAATTGGCACTTTTTAAAAAATTAATCTTGTTACACCCCCTGGCTGTCAATCAGACGACTAGTCATGTTACTTCCTGGTTTGGTTAGGTCAGTGTACCTAAACTCAAGAGGCAGAAATTACCCAGAGCACCTGCCTTGCCCAAACTTTTCATTAAGCTGCATCGGGAAGCCTGTGATTGGACAGTCAAAAGAAAACCTGGTTTTTAGTGTTAGAAGGAACGGACTTATAAAGGCAGCAAACCAGAGATCTAAAGCTGTTTTTAGATCCCCAATAAAAAAAAAAAAAATGCATAATCAAATGCACGTATGTTTTCATTTGTGGTATATCTACTACACAGTGATATGTATTTTTGTATATGGACAGTGGAGTGTCTCTTTAACTGAACTCTCACAATGACGTATGCATGAGCAAAACACTGTAGAATGGATGCCAAAGTGCACAGCTATGCCCACATACATTTGTGCAGTATGTATCTGCAGATTCCCAGCCAGAGTCTCATGGGGCAATGTCTCCCTAAAAAGTGCAGAGCAAGTCATTTTTTTTAAAACTTACCTCTTCTACACTACTTACCACAGAAAAGTATTTAATAGGGATAGAAAATAAGGAACTGTCACTCTTAATGTAAGGCAGGAAAGCTCTGATATAGATTGTATGGAAGGGGTTCAAAACCTTTCAGACTCTGAATTATTCTCACAAACAGAGCTTTAATAGATTCTTGCATTTGTGTTAGTAAAGAGGTACATTGTATCACAGTCATACAAGATTATGTTGAGAGAAAACACATATAATTGTTATAGATATTTACTGTCCCTTTAAGGAGGATAGCATGCCAACTTGCCTCAATGACCAGTCTTCCAATTTAGATTATATACCTGTAGAACTTGCCAATGATTGGAAATATATATGTGTTAACCTGAGAAGTTTTTGTCAAAGACTTAAGTTCTGGGTGTATACAAAAACACAATAGGAGTGGTTCTGCTAGGACAAATAAGAAGAAAGGCACAACATAGTGCCTAAATGTGTTGGTTAACAATTAATGTTTGAAATAATTGGCCACTCACACTTGGTATGACAAATTCAAGCCTTCATTATAAAATTGATGGTATCAATGGCTTTTTCCTGTTGCTATATAGCCTCAGATTTATTGGACCATAGATGTCAGAAATATAAAGTGCAAAGAATAAAGAGCAAATTCCTTAAAGTGCATAAAAATAGTTTTAATCACTTACATCTCAGCTAAAAACAGCATGTGTGGTAATAAAATACCAGTCCACTAGTCCTACGCATTTCGTCCTGGCAAGGGACAAGGAACTGAGTACACCAACAAAAATACATACTGATAATCCATTGATACCATCCATTTTATAATGAAGGCTTGAATTTGTCATACCAAGTGTGAGTGGCCAATTATTTCAAACATTAATTGTTAACCAACACATTTAGGCACTATGTTGTGCCTTTCTTCTTATTTGTTCTAGCAGAAGCACCCCTATTGTGTTTTTTGTGTATATGTTGGAAGATTGAGGAAGTCTTCGGGGTAGAGCCTTTCTGCATGAGGTAAGTTTAAATTTCAATTTACATTTGCTTCACTGATTCAAGGGGTGTGATTGTCACATTGTATATCTATGTGCATTCCTATATGAAGTTCTGGGTGGCATGGTGTGTGTAACCTGTAGGGGGAATTACATATCTGACATATAGTATATAAGTGTTACCATTGAAGGTAAAATATGTTCGCTGAAAACCCCCCCCCGATATTCTCAAGTTTGCCAAGCTTAACTGTTTTGGTTTAAGTTTACAAAGTAATTGTGGAGAATTGAAAAGGGTATTATATTTTTTGTATCACACTTTGTCAATTAGCCACATTTCTCATTTGGTTATTAACCCCTTAAGGACACAGCTTCAGAAGTAAAAAAATTGAAAATTTCCATCACATGTCCATAAGGGGTTAAACAAGCCCCCTAGGTAGAAATAGTGATTATTCCCACAATAGCTTTCCACCCAGGATGCCAACAAGCATGGATAAGACACTCCTTATCCATTATCAGTACAAAATGCAATGTAAATTACAGTCTTCCATATTAATACATAATTAGCAGCTCCTATCTGTATGCATACATACTAATTTAGCCATATGTACTTCTATATAATTAATTATAAATATTTATATGCACACATATTTATGTATAATTTGAAATTAAACACAATAATAAAATGTAGAAAATTGCTATGCATTTAAGCATTATTAACATATTTAATAAACAATCCATTAATAATATTCTGGGACTTTGGAGCAAGACGTACAAATTACTATCTGTACCCGTTTCCCTAGTCGCATACATTAAATCCCGTCTATAGATTGCAATGCACTAACAGGTGCCTCCTTTGTGCATTTTATCTTTTACTTAAAATATAAATTAAAAAAGACAAAAACAAATATAGTAAGTGAAATTAGTGATAAACATCATGTTGTTGACAGTAACTGGGGACAAAAATAAATTCGAAGGATGAAACAAAATATATAATTGTTCATGCTATTTCTTGGGCAATATAAAGTAAGTATTAGCGCCCCCTTCAGGTGACATAACAGAATACAAATTCAGGTGTATTTTTTTTTCCTTTTCATTAATTCATTTGTTGCTCAACCACTGGAAAAAGAGTGTTAAAGAAACAAGCTAAACTATTCCAGGTCTTGCAAACATGGACAAGAGGTTGCTGTTGTAATTCAAATAACTCAGGATACTCTTCTCCATATCCTTTCTGTATCCATTCTCCTCAAGTACTCTCTTCAAGTATTGTTTAGGCTGCTCTGCAAGGTTTAATTTATCTTCCATCACGTCCCGTATTAACTGGCTCATGGAGGGCTGGCCATCGACCTATCAAGAAGAGAAATATGAAGTATATTAAACATCATGGAATTTATTTCACATAATCTAGTTATTCTAAGAGTTGATGTGACATTTAACTGCAATATGGAATTACAATAATTGATTTGTGATTTCCCAAGTTTAGAGATGATATAGCTATATCGATATTGAAAGATGCAATCTAAACTTGTATATTTCCCTATGGGAAATACAAACAAACCTAGGAGTTCTTGGTAGTTAAATGACTATGAATACCATATTGCAGGAGTATAATGCGGGACCTTAATAGCTTGGACTGTGAAGAGCAACACAAAGATCAGGGCCACTCTTTACTAATCTATCCGTAACCAGGTGAGACACTCGAAACTTTCACAGAACCTCTTCTTTCTTGTTGTCTACCAAACATCTTTACACAAACATTATAAAGGAGTGAAAATATCAAATGAGGGGAGAGATACAGCATACAGGGACATGGCAAACTACCCACCGCATGTAAGTGCACACAGTTTCTTTCTTAACTAAGTACTGAATGAGTCATACAGAATTGGGTGAATTCACAAAGCTTTTTCAAAGCCATGTTACTCTGGATGATACCAACAGCTACGCCTCCTGCTGAGTTCACATAAGATATGTTTACCTGAGTTAACAATTTCTGGGCATTATCAACTCAGCAGTAGACTAGTACAGATCAACAGCGGTTGTGACATTACCACATTGTAGAGTGATAATGGCTGGCTTCTCCCAGTGGGTTAAGAAGCCAGAGATAGAGCCCTATATGAAAATGTATATATGTTTTTCATTTTACAAAATTTACCAATAAAACTGATTAAAACCCAGAGGAAAAAACAACAACACATTTGCAGCTAAAAGCAATTACTTATATTATTATATAGTAATCTATGTTTAAAAAATGTTACCCAGTCATTATTAGGTAGAGAATACCATATTGTTATTGTTCTTACTATAAAGGGCCCTTCTCTCTGCCATAGGCTAAATCCTCTTTATCAAGTTTACGTAGGTGATCTCTTTCAGTTGGCTAAATTGATTTCAGAAAAACCTCACCAGACTGAAGTTCCCGTTGTGCTCTAAGAGGGCTGAACTCATGTAAACCTATGGAAGCTCAGAGATGCTCAGTGTATATAGAACTAACCATGCTATACTTATCTCATAGGTTGCCAGAGAGTTATACAATACATTGCTCAATTGTCTGGCATTCTTAGAGCTAACCACTTTAATAGTGCTGTTTGAAACCAATAGAACATTTTCTAACTCTGAAGCATTGTAGGTACACAATAATTAAGCATATCTGTCATTTTATTCTTTCCTCAATTATTTAAACTAAAAAAAAAACAGAATTTTTTTGAGTCAATTTCTGCTGCCATAACAACAAAGATCTGTCAGTGTTTATATGATGAGTATGTACTGTAATTAGTCAACTCCACAGTAAATGTGAATGAGACAAAGTAACAGTGACAATGCTTCCAATGTAGACCGATTAAAGAGACTCTGTCGTCTGTAGGACAAGGTTCTTTTCAGGTAGGTAGGTACACAAATGTATCTCCAAGAAACTTTCAGCACTCCTGAATGGAAGCAGGCCCCCCATTGGTAAATGGAGTTGGGGTGCTAAGAACTGTGAGCAAGAAAATGTACTGGGGATGAAGGGGTTAATAGGACTTTGGACTCTGACATTTAGCATCCCTTTTTAAATTAGGTTGTTGCCTAGAGGGCTTGGGGACTCCAGTTCATTACTGCACCATCGTCTTTGGCCACGGGACGGACAGAGAATGGAAGATATGATCATTTCAAACCAGTGCCTGACCCATGATACACACCCAGATAGTGATACCTTCTGCTATTCCAAGGACACCAATATTATACACCCACTGACTCTGCAAAAAGTGTGTACATATTTATATATCTCCAAACATTTGAACTGGACATAGACGGACACTTTCATTTTAGCGGTGGGGGTGGGCCAGGGACGGAGCTTTTCTGAGACATTTTATGTGACTTATTAATAGCAATTTATGCAACTAAAATTGAATTTAAAACAAAAACCAATGTATCTTATTTACGAGTGATATCTAAACATGTTTATTGTAGTTTAAAGACTTATTACTGGGAGTATTATTGCTGTGGTGCTCTGTTATATACTCAAAATACAGAAAAAAGGGACAGAGGGCCAAAATTGTGACTGTCCCTCCTAAATAGGGACACACACATACTCTCTTTCTCTCTCTCTCTCTCTTTACTTCCTACTAGGTTGTGACAAAACAGTTGGGGCAAAGATACACATTGTGAAATGCTATTAACAGTAAATCTAGGTATTGGTATCTAGGTAACGATACACCAGCAAATTCCAGTAATATCTTGCAGAGGGTAGAGACACTGACACTCAGTCCTGCATAGTGTGCGACACTGACCCAGGAAGCACCTCGTAGCCATCTGAGGGGTGGCCACTGGCTGTAATGTAAACACTGCGTTTTCTCTGAAAATACAGTGTTTACTTCAAATGGCCTGCAGGGACTGACTATATTCAGCAGAACAACTACATTAAGCTGTAGTTCTGGTTACTATAGTGTCCCTTTAAAGACTGTAATGTTGCACGTACAAACTCCAGGCGCCATAACTACTTCAAATCACTGAAGTGGGCATGGTGCTTGGAGTAAATCTTTAATATAATGTAAAAATAATAAAAACAATGTTCTCATATTTAAAAAAAATAAAAAATCCACTGGGAAATAAATAAAAGTATTTTAGTTGTATTATACACTTTGTCAGGCAAACCTCATTCTTAAACAGTAAGATCATGGACAAATAGACGATCTTCAAGCAAGGCTTCACAGGTAAGTAATCGTTTATTTAAAGGGACACTCTGGGGACCAGTACAATTTTAATGCATTTAGTAGTTTTTTGGCATCATAATTATGATTCAGAGGAAATGAAATTCATTTTAGAGAGACTATTAAAATATATAAGAAAAAGAGAATGGGAGCCATTTTAGGGTAGATTAACAGTAAGCAGACATCTAGGGAAAGAAAGACACACACATCCAGTATATGAATTTGTACACACATGCTGCATAATACATACATTCACACACACATACTGCCTAATACATACATACATTCATACACACATACTGCCTAATACATACATTCATACACACATACTGCCTA